CGGTCGGATCCACTCTCAAAATAAACCTCCTGCCAAAGATATAATTCCGGAAGATTCGCAGACAATGGAGGACAACAAAGGTCTCCCTCTTGAACTGAGAGTAGTTCCTCTCCATTGTACAGAGAGTCCAACTCTCAAATCGCAAGGGTCTTTCCTTCCCTTCCATGTCTGCCTGAATTAGAACTCCCCCTAAGGCAGTCGGTCCCGCATCCGTCTCGATAATGAAGGGTCGCGTCTCTGTGGCGTCATAATCTGGCGCTCCTAACACCAACCCTCCTTCTCGAAATTCCTCCTTCATTTTTGCTACCACCTCTTCTTGTTCCTCACCCCATACCCATTCCTGATCCAGACGGACTGACTTCCTCAGGTGTTCAGTCTTAGCGGCAAAGTTCTTGACGAAGGCCCTCCAAAATCCACACGTACCAAGGAAGCTCCTGACATCAGTTATTGAGTGGAACGGAACTGGCCACTCAGTAATCTTGTCCGTCTTCTTCACATCCGGCTTTCGGCCCTTCTCATTGCAGACTATCCCCAAGATAGTCGCTTCCCTCATGCAGTGTCTAGATTTGGCCCCACTTGCCATGAGGTTATGCTCTTCGAGCAGGCTCAGGACCTTTTCGAGGTCCTGAATGTGTTTCCAGACAAAGCGTCTTACCCTTGGTGAGATTTCGTCGCTCTCTTTCGTCGCCGGCCCATTCACTGCCAAATCGTCAATATATGGCTGTGTGATATGAGGGCTGACTGACTGCATGGCCCGAATCATGGCTCGTTGGACCATTGCTACTGCGTTGGTCCACCCCTGTGGGGCCACGTTCATGTGGACTAATCCTCGCAGCGTGTGCATAGTTGTCACCGGCCTATCCGGCGGGTAGACTGGGAATTGATCGTATCCTGAGTAAAGGTCTATAAGCGAAATTATAGGTCTTCCAACACAGGATTCCGACAGCGCGTCTGCATTCGGCAGTCCTCCAGCATCTCGCACGGTCACTGCATTCAATCTTTGCAAATCTTGCACCCACCGCAGAGTCCCGTTAGGCTTAATGAAGCAGAACCACGGGGACGCATACGGTCCACTTGAATAGTCGGCGACGTGAGTACGTATCTTGCCGTCGAGATAATCCACCACCTTCCTTTCCTCGTCAGGATTGGGATATCGCGCCCCTCTCCTGTTCCAAGGCTCGTGTGGCACGGTGTGGATGTGGATCATAGGTATCTTATCTACATCCAGCCTGCCACGCTCCTCGTCACTAAACGCGTAGGCGCGATGCTTTCTCTTCATTAATTCCACCATCAGCGTTCGCTCCTGAGGTAGCAGGAAATCAGACTCCCCTATGATCAACTCCTTCTCGTTCCCTTCGTTGATACGACATGGCCCTGCTAAAACACTTTCCCTCATTTGTCGAATAAACCCTCGTTCCCTCTCATAATATGCTTCCTCGTCCTCTGTAACGAGGACAGGTACTGGGCGGCACTTTTTATCTACCGTCTTGTACCGCCTTTGGGAACCCTGCTTGAGCCGTCCCTTAAAAAAGGCCGACTCACAGATTGTGTTTGCGCTGATGCGGGGTTCCCTCCACTGCCTGGGAGCCGATATACCAGTTCCAACCTTCCTGCCTCAGGGCATTCCAGAACTTGTTCCCTCAAGGCCTGGATGGCATCCGGATCTGCCATCTCATGCGTGGCCACCAGGTCCATGGCCTTCCCAACATCTGACAGACTGAGGGAAAATGCTTCCACCCCCTCTCCTGCTTCGGGGGCTCTGCCCAGAGCCTCCTGCGCTCCCCTTCCGACTCCTCGATCGTGAATGATCCTGAATCGGGCCGGTTCCTTATACTCCTTGGCCCGGTGTTCCTGCAAGTAATTATTTCATAATTTCCGCAGGCAGGATCGCATAAGAGGAGGATCAACGTCCCGTCATGTTTGTTGAACATCACGGTCTTTGTCCTGCTTAGGAATGACCTCCCCAAGAGGATTCCATGGTCCACGTCTGGCATTATGAAGAAGCATGCCCTGACCTTCACCTTTCCAACCTCGACGAGTACATTCGAGGCTGTCCCACAAAACACGGTCTTACAGCTGGCTCCATGCAGAATACCGCAGCTAGAACGGTCTATATCCAGCCCGAATCTGATCGCGTCCGCCTCCCGAATAATGTTCATCTCTGCCCCGGTGTCCACCATTGCTGCGCACTTGGAACCCTTCACCATCAAATCCACCGTACCGCAGGCTACGCACTTCCAGTCCATCTTCGTACCTGACTCTGCTCACTCTGCCTCCTTGGGCAGGATCGTACCCAGATGGACATTGGGCACCAGGCGCCGTGATAACCTCCCCTTCAGTTCATCGCGGAGTCGC